AAATCATCACCTATCTTATGACTATTTTTTCTTCCCCTAGCTCTAAATTCATGGAAGCAAAATTGTGGAGGTTTAGTTCCCCACTTCTGTGTCTGTTTTATTCTAATATGGTTGCTGTGATTAATTATTTTCTAGATAGATTGCAACAGGCTATTCACACACTTTTGAAATTTTTGAGTGATTCCTCTTTTCCCATAGTTGTTTTGCAAGTACAGTAGTGACCCTGATTTGTTTTCATACGTCCGTTATTCTGTTAGCTAGAATTTCATTTCTATTTGGCGGAGTGAAGTTTTTCGTTGTACATTATAACTTCCTTTTAATGAAGAAAAGGAAATTAGATGCAGATGAAGTTCAAAGACTGAATGTGTCCAGGATGACTAGAAAATATATTCCTTTTACCCTAAAATCAAGCTCAAGGTTCTGGTGTGTCCCCAACTTAACCCTTAAAAGAGTTTTGGCTTCAAAGCCTTGGCCAACATCTGGGTACTAAATCTCCAACAGGAGTCCTCAGCTAACTGTCTTTGTAGACATCTGAAAACGCTACTTGTTCAGAACTATAGCTATAGGAAGAATTGATCCAACAAATGGCCGATTGGAAGGTCATCTAACAAATGGGTATTAACCCAGCAATTGGCCAATTCTCTCTGTTATAAAGAGGATTACTGCTTTCCAGAAATTTGTGTTTCATTATTTTCTTCAGCTGCTTCAGGTTCTACCAAGCCCTCTCAAATTCTATTTTTCAGACAAAGTTGTCTTTTCTTGTTCTTGCAATGAGCCACTCATTCGACCTCGTCTCCCTTCCTGGGCTTTCTTATACTTTCTCAGGAGGTCCTTTCAGAACCCCAGACCAGGCTAGTTCCTGCTTTGCCCTGTTTCTGTTGTACTCTCCTTCCATACTTCTCACATTTATGATTGTGTGTTCAAGGGTTGTCCCACCAACTAACCTGTGGGCTTCATGAAGACTTGTGTAACATTATAGCTTTGGCAGCTTTTTAACTGCCTAGTGTTTAAAGAGCACACACCTAAACAGAGGTGAGAGGCTTTTAGTTTCCACCTATGATACATAACTCTGCGTAACCAGATCTAGTTTCATCTGACTCTGCAGTTTGCCAGCATAGTATCTGCTCATAGGACTGAAATCTGTGTGTTTGACCTTTTCTTAATTTGTTTATAAAGTTATGTGAGCAATGAAATTATTTCCCTTTCATGGCTGAAGTCTTTCATGCTCTGATAACGGCTCTGGCAAGTCAAAACAAAGGAACTGGGAAAGCCTAGATTTGTATGCAGTGAACTGAGCTAATGTCTGGGACCAGGGCATCCAGGGCTGTGTTTATGGCAAGTTCGGGTTGCATTAAATTCTTTGCTTACTGTGACCTGTTTTCCATCACGCTTCTCTTAAATGTGATAAAGATTAAGTCTGTAGGTCTTCAGAAAGTGTGTATTTTCATAGTCAGTTTTCTTGTAGACTAATTTTCAGAATCAGTTGAGATAATAATTTTATTATACTAAATGTATGTTTGCATCTGGATGTGCATAATGTTTTGTCAGTGTTCCTAACTGGGGCATTTTTGAAAGAAAATCCAAGAATTTTGACTGCCTATCATGGCCAGCCCATCTACTTTATATTCTGTCAGTATGATTTTCCGAATTTCCTGCTCATGACACATTTGTAGAAAGAAAAAACTAACCACTAAACTTTTAGCATATTCACACCCTCCAGTTTCACGTCCTTATTTCTGAACATAGGATTTGAATTCTAAGAAAAGGGAAAAACAAATGTTCATACAACCCTTTTGGAAGTGGTGTGCACAGCCACATGGTGAGCATTTCCATGGATGCCATGGCTCGATCCTCATGTGGGAAAGGTCTGGTGGGGAAGGCTGCATTCATTCCATACATGAATGGTCACAGGTCGGGGTTATCTTATGTAAGGCCTTATATTTGAAGGTGGAATCATGAATTTATACATTTGACAACACTTCTCCCATAGGATATCATAGTTTTCTATGTATTTCTTTGACATTCTTTTCCCATTATATTCTTGTTTGTCTAGATTTCAGAGCTTAGTATAATCAAGTCTATGGAGAATTGTATGATTTGTTCGTGAACGTTTAGAATTCTGTGTAGAAAGTTGCACTTTGAGTGTTTTCATAAGTATCCTGATGTGTGCTCTGAATTACTTTCTTTGGTTTTGAGGACAGAGAGCTTAGATATTTGCCAGGAAATTTCCTATAAAGTATTTATCTCTCTCTCTCTCTCTCTCTCTCTGACACACACACACACGCACGCACACACACACGTGCATGCACACACACACACTGAACTTTCTGTGTGCAAGACACTGATTTAGACGTTTAGGTTACATCAGTGATCACATGTTGAGCTTACACTTTCATTCTACCAAACTGTACATCAAGAAGTTGCAAGATGACTGCATGTCTTCTCATTTCTTGAATTTTAAATTAATTTTTTATGGTAAATATGTGGTAACATCTTGAAGTGACTTAAGAATTTAATAGTAAATATTAGAGCTTCATGAAGATTGTATGTGTATGTGTCTGTGTGTGAAGTTTCTGTAGTTATTTTTGTTGTCTTCTGAAAAATAAATTAAATGACATACTCAAGGATTCTAGGTGATATTTTGGTGGTGTCTGTTTTGGTTCATTTGCAACCTAACATTAGTTACATAAATAGCTTGTATGGTTATTCCCTCTTGCATCCAGATGCAAAATTAGAAATCAAAGGATAGCTTTAATTGTTCATGTATACTTGATTCTTAATCTTTTCCTAAAAAAATTTCTGAAATTAATACGTTTTATGGTCTATGCTGCTTTGAGAATTATTTTTAAAGTTATTTTTTTAATGGATTTACTAAAACTGAAGTGCTGTTAGTAATCAACATCTTTGAAAATTGATCTGTTTGGAGATAGTTTCCAAGTCAATATATGGTAATCCCTTTTTCTTTTTTTTCCATTGTGATACTAACAAATGATATAGGGAAACTGTGACACACATTTCAAGATTTTTGTGATTAGCTATACCAAGTATATTTTGCTAGCACTCCCTAAAGTAATACTTTTGAAAAGTACCTTCTCTTCTCTTTTCAGTTATTTACAAATAACTGTTTACATAAAAATCATTATCTCTTTATGCATAGGTTATTATGTATTACAATTCAAATTCCATTATAAAATGTTCTAATTAAATGCTACCACCATTGTTGCTTCAGCATCTGAAAGTCTCTTAGCTTTGATCAATCCTAACATTTCCCAAAATGGATTCTAGGAAATCTGAGTTCTATAGGATATTGATAATGTTATGAGAAAAAAAAATTGACCTGTGTTGATATAAGTTGGACTGTTCTTTTTTACTACAGAGCCATTCAGGGCTTTAAAAATATGCTAATGTGTGCAGTGCTTTTTTAAGAGAGATAGCCTGGTTATAGCTTTGCCACAAAGAGTTTATGCTTTGGGAACAACTGACTTTCTTATTTTGTAGATTAGAAAATGGAGTCCCTGAGAAATTAAACAACTTGCTTAAAATTAGACCTCCAGACTAATATTTTTAAGACAATGCTATTCTAAGATGGAAACTGATAGGTTCTTCCCACTCAGCCTTTCTCTCTGTCAGCTCTTGGGCTAAATGTGGCTGTTGCCTTGACTTCTGGGCTTGTACTTCTTATTTGTTTTGAATGATAGGAAATGTATCCCTGAAAAGCTGCCTTATAAAGGCCCAAATTTCCACCCAGACAGTGTATTGATTTATTTACAGTTTTTTTTTTCTTCCTTGAAATCTTCCCCTCCCCCCCCAAAAAAAATCCCCTCAAACCAAACATGATTACTGGGGATCCTGGAGAGCAGTGGTTTGGAAGAGACAGCTCGTTCTCCTGGAAACTTTATCTCTGCACTAAAAATTCAGCAAACACTCTTCTTTGTTTTTGTGGCTTTTTCAGTCTTATTTGAGTTCATTCTCTTAGTAAATAGTTTTAAGTGCCAGACATGGAGTACACATTATTAAGTAGGTTGGGCATACGTGCTGCCTTCCTAGAGCTCACAGTGAATATAGAAAAGACAAATTAAATAAAAAATTGTAGTTCATCATAAATAAATAAGCAAATAAATCAGTAAATATATTGTGATAAATGCTAAGATTAAAGTACAGAGAACTCTGCCTTGTACAGTAAGGAGGGGCATTTTCTAGCCAGAAGGTACAAGGAAGTCTTCCTGAGAAAGTGGCTTAAGCTAAACCTTATAGGATGTGTAGGTATTTGGTAGAAGAAGGGGGTCAGAGGCAGAGCCCAGAGCAGGGGTGTTAGACCTGGAGGAGATCGTCATTAGAAAGTGAAAAAGCACCAGTGTGGTTCTTGTGTGGGTAGTGCTTGAGCTGCCCTGAGACGTCTTCTGATATATGAACGCATGAGGTTGCATTCTTTTCTGATGCATACAAGAACGATTGTTGTTGGTTTGCCACCTGATTGGTGATTTTTGATAATCATCTTGCCCTACCATTTAAATATATAAAGTAAATAATTTTCCATTATCAAAAAGTCTGGGAAAATTCTGCATAAATTCTGCCTAGAGGTAATCATGCTTGTAACCAGAATAATCCTTTCCCAGAGACAAAAGATAGGGACCGTACAGACCATTCGCACAAACCCAAATTGTGATTTTTCCTATTTTTTTTTAAGGCATAATTTCAAACAGTTTGGAAGATGTTTATACTAATTACTGCCTATCTTAATATACATGAAATATAATATAAGGAAATTTAATACAAATAGATTATAATATACTTAATATATTATATAAGTGTAATAAAGTAAAATATAATATAAATAGAGTATAAGGTAATTTATAGAATTTAAAGGAATATGAGAGAAATCTGGTTTAAGATTCTGATGTTTTCTGTAACTTTTTCTGATGCTTCCTTAAAAAATATGTGTTTGGGATTTGACCCTAAACTTTGCTGACATCCTTGTTTTTGTTTTGTGCTTCCTCTAGTCTAGTGGGATTGCAGCCATCATTGCTATTTTGGTGTTACTACTACTCTTGGGCATCGGTTTGATGTGGTGGTTTTGGCCCCTTTGCTGCAAAGTGGTGAGTGAGAAGGATTTGAAATCCTACTCTTTTTTTTTTAAACATCAAGGTGTAAAGTAAGGCTGAAATATGCATCAATATTCAACAACAGCAAAGTTTCAATTAGCAAATTGAATTTTAATAGTTTTTGTCATTATAATAAATTGTATTCATGCATGCCAATAAATGTTTATTATAAAACTTCATCAAAAAAAGTCTTCAAAATCAGATTTGGGGGAAGAAGGGGAAAAGAAGGTAGGACAGGTTGTAGGAATAAAGGGTTTTCCATGCAAGTACAAAAGAATTTCAAGAAAATTGAATGATATGTTCTGCTGGATTCATTGAGAGAGGTTGATAATCTGTCAGTTTGTTTGGTTTTTTTTCAGTGCTTATTGAATGTTTCATTACTTCTTTGAAAGATCTACTATTTCAGGACCTTCTCTGTTTGCCTCTTAGAAAAACATTTTAGAAATAAGTCATGTGCAAATGTTAGGGTATCTGTTAAACAGTCACTTTTGAAGTTACGACAGCTGATTTCAGGTTGTGTCATCTTTCATGTTTGAGTCAAACCTCTGAAAGAATATGGGTAATAAGCTTTCTAGCGCTACTGTAACAAATTGCCACACATTTGGTAGCTTAAAGCAACACAAATTTATTATCTAAGTTATGTAATCACAGATCCAACATGGGTCTCACTGATCTAAACTGGGTTAAAAGGTATCCGCAGTGATACATTCCTCTCTTAATGCTCTAGAACAGAATCTGTTCCCTTGCGTTTTCCAGCCTCTAGAAGCCACCTCCATTCCTTGCCTTGTGAGCCCCTTCCTCCACCTTTAGAGGCAGCCACGTTGCATCTTTGTCACCATTATTCTGTAGTCACATGTTCCTCTGACTCTGAGCCCAACTGGGAAAGGACCTCCAGTGTTAAGGAACCATGTGATTAGGTTTGACCCACCTGGATAATCCAGGATGATCTCCTATCTCAAGTTCCTTAACCTTAATCACATCTGCAAAGTCTCTTTGGCCCTGGAAGGCAATTTATTCACAATTCCAGGGAATTAGGATGGGGACATCTTTATAGAGCCATTATTTTTCCTGCCACAGGGCGGAACGTTGAGTAAAAAACATCAGCACATTTCAAGCAATACAACTTGGATTGTTCAGGCTTCATAGAAAAGGTTATTCTGAAGAAGCGCTCCTTCAAGTCATGCTACTACCTATTTTGATAATATTCCTTTCCTTATCAGCACTTTATACAGAACTTTATATTCTGTAGGTCAGAGTAGTGTTTTACATAATATTACTAGACTGCATTTTTCTCCCTCCCCGCTGCTGGCTGATTTCCGCTTCCTTGCAACTTCAGGCAGTGCTTTGTATTACTCCTGCATTTATTATTCATTGTACTTCAGTCTGCTTTCATGAGACAACTTTACAGTCCTTTATCTCAGAGCAGTTGGCCCATGGAGGAGGCACAGAATTAACTTAGACAACAGTAGAGACAAGAAACATCCTGTCTCTTTGCTGAACTAATCAGTTTCCTGCTATAGCAATTTATGCTCAGACGGTTTCCTGTAGTAATCTTGATTGTCTTAGATATGGTGATTTTAGGCTAGCTAGCACTCTTGAGTCTCAAATTAAAAAGCAAAAAGGTGCCTTAATGTGATGTGTGCTCCTTGTTCTTCTAATTTAAACTTCACAATGGTGGATTTCCTTATTTCATTACTTTGCAATTTCATATAATATTGACCAGAGGGCTCAAAAGTGTCAAAGTGGTATTTTATTTTATATTATTATTATTATTTTTTTTGCAGTATGCGGGCCTCTCACTGCTGTGGCCTCTCCCGTTGCGGAGCACAGGCTCCGGGCGCGCAGGCTCAGCGGCCATGGCTCACGGGCCTAGCTGCTCCACGGCATGTGGGATCTTCCCGGACCGGGGCACGAACCCGTGTGCCCTGCATCGGCAGGTGGACTCTCAACCACTGTGCCATCAGGGAAGCCCCAAAGTGGTATTTTAAAAGGACGCTTGTGAAGACTGAAATGGGCTTCTTTGGGAGGTTGCTAGATGTACTCAAGTGAAGTCTCCACCATCAAATGGGGTATTATAGAGAGGATTCAATCATCAGGTGGTGAGAATAGATCCATTCCATCCCTGGGTCTATGCAGACTGGGAATCATGCAGTATATTTCTTTATGCAAGGCACAGAGGGACACCATTAAGGCATGTTTTTACAATGTCAGGAGGGCTTCCTATTCTCAGAAGCATCATGAATGCTTACTAATTTCTGCAACTTACTTAATAGAGAGAAACATCTTTATTTTACATTTAGAAATACAGACTGTAGAGCAGCTAGCCCTGAGTATGAGCTTGCATTTAGACCTAGGAATAAATGAATCAGAGCATAAAACTTAAACTAGGTTTAAACTAGGTTTAAAAGCAGGGAGAGAGAGAGATTGGTTCAAGATAGTGGAGTAGAAGGACATGCGCTCACTCCCTCTTGCGAGACCACTGGGATCACAACTAACTGCTGAACAGTCATTAACAGGAAGATACTGGAACTCACCAAAAAAGATACCCCACATCCAAAGACAAAGGAGAAGCCACAATGAGACAGTAGGAGAGGCACAATCACAATAAAATCAAATCCTATAACCGCTGGGTGGGTGACTGACAAACTGGAGAACACTTATACCGCAGAAGTCCACCCACTGGAGTGAAGGTTCTGAGCCCCATGTCAGGCTTCCCAACCTGGGGGTCAGGCAATGGGAGGAGGAGTTCCTAGAGAATCAGACTTTGAAGGCTAGCAAGATTTGATTGCAGGACTTCGACAGGACTGGGGGAAAACAGAGACTGTATTCTTAGAGGGCACACACAAAGTAGTGTGTGCGTCAGGACCCAGGGGGAGGAGCAGTGACCCCATAGGAGACTGAACCAGACCTACCTACTAGTATTGGAGGGCTCCTGCAGAGACAGGTATGGCTGTGTCTCACAACGGGTACAAGGACACTGGCAACAGAAGTTCTGAGAAATAATTCTTGGTGTGAGCCCTCCCAGAGTCCACCATTAGCCCCACCAAAGGGCCTGTAGGCTCCACTGCTGGCTCAACTAAGGCCAAACAACCAACAGGGAGGGAACTCAGCCCCACCCATCAGCAGACAAGTGGATTGAAGTTTTACTGAGCTCTGCCCACCAGAACAACACCCAGCTCTACCCACCACCAGTCCTTCCCATCAGGAAGCTTACACAAGCCTCTTGGATAGCCTCATCCACCGGAGGGCAGACAGCAGAAGCAAGAAGAACTACAATCCTGCAGCCTGTGGAACGAAAACCACATTCACAGAAAGATAGACAAGATAAAAAGGCAGAGGACTATGTACCAGATGAAGGAACAAGATAAAACCCCAGAAAAACAACTAAATGAAGTGGAGATAGGCAACCTTCCAGAAAAAGAATTCAGAATAATGATAGTGAAGATGATCCAGGACCTCGGAAAAAGAATGGAGGCAAAAATGGAGAAGCTGCAAGAAATGTTTAACAAAGACCTAGAAGAATTAAAGAACAAACAAACAGAGATGAATAATACAATAACTGAAATGAAAAATACACTAGAAGGAATCAATAGCAGAATAACTGAGGCAGAAAAACGGGTAAGTGACCTGGAAGACAGAAGGGTGGAATTCACTGCTGTGGAACAGAATGAAGAAAAAATAATGAAAAGAAATGAAGACAGCCTAAGATACTACTGGGACAGCATTAAACACACCAACATTCACATTACAGGGATCCCAGAAGGAAAAGAGAGAAAGAAAGCACCCGAGAACATATTTGAACAGATTATAGTCGAAAACTTCCCTAACATGGGAAAGGAAATAGCCACCCAAGTCCAGGAAGTGCAGAGAGTCCCAGGCAGGATAAACCCAAGGAGAAACACGCTGAGACACATAGTAATCAAGTTGACAAAAATTAAAGACAAAGAATAATTATTAAAAGCAACAAGGGAAAAACAACAAATAACATACAAGGGAACTCCCATAAGGTTAACAGCTGATTTCTCAGCAGAAACTCTACAAGCCAGAAGGGAGTGGCATGATATATTTAAAGTGATGAAAGGGAAGAACTTACAACCAAGATTGCTCTACCTAGCAAGGATCTCATTCAGATTAAAAGGGGAAATCAAAAGCTTTAAAGACAAGCAAAAGCTAAGAGAATTCAGCACCACCAAACCAGCTCTACAACAAATGCTAAAGGAACATCTCTAAGTGGGAAACACAAGAGAAGAAAAGGACCTACAAAAACAAACCCAAAACAATTAAGAAAATGTTGAAAGGAACATACATATCAATAATTTCCTTAAATGTGAATGGATTAAATGTTCCAACCAAAAGACACAGGCTCACTGAATGGAAACAAGAACAAGACCCATATATATGCTCTCTACTAGAGAGCAACTTCAGACCTAGGGGCACATACAGCCTGAAAGTGAGGGGATGGAAAAAGATATTCCATGTGAATAGAAATCCAAAGAAAGCTGGAGTAGCAATACTCATATCAGAAAAAATAGACTAAAAAAAAGTAAGTTACAAGACACAAGGAAGGTTAATACATAATGATCAATGGATCAATCCAAGAAGAAGATATAACAATTATAAATCTGTATGCATCCAACATAGGAGCACCTCAATACATAAGGCAAATGCTAACACATATAAAAGAGGAAATCGACAGTAACACAGTAATAGTGGGGGACTTTATCACCTCACTTACACTGATGGACAGATCATACAGATTGAAAATTAATACGGAAACACAAGCTTTAAATGACACAATAGAACAGATAGATTTAATTGATATTTATAGGACATTCCATCTGAAAACAGCAAATTACACTTTCTTCTCAAGTGCTCATGGAACATTCTCCAGGATAGATCAAATCTTGAGTCACAAATCAAGCCTTGGTAAATTTAAGAGAATTAAAGTCATATCAAGCATCTTTTCTGACCACAATGTTATGAGATGAGAAATC